GACACAGTGACAAAAAGCCCCGGCCATGTCGCCAGGTGTGCCCCCCTCCCCCTTCCCCCTCATTTGGGACATTTTGGGGTGAAATCGGTCGCTGTCAGGTGTTTCGGGGGGGGGAATTGGCTGCCACCCAGGAATGGGAGGGGGGACAACACCCCAGAAGAGGGGTTTGCACCCAAATAGGGGTGTTGGTACCCAAAGGAAGGATGTTTGCACCCAAAGGGGGGTGTTTGCACCCAAAGTGGGGGGGTCTTAGCCCCCAGGGAAAGGTGTTGTCGGCTTGGGGGGGAAAATTAGGTCCCAAGGAGGGGGTGTGAGCACCCAAGGAGGGGGCGTAATGACGCCCGAGAGGGGGTGTCATTACCCCAAAAAGCCACTAGATGGAGATGTCAGCCCAAGGATGCGGGGGGAGGGTGTCAGTCCGTCCGGTCCCGCTCCCCCCGCTCCGCCCCCCCCCCGCAGCCGTGGCAGAGGTGGGACACCAGTGGGCACTGCCGGGGGCGCCCACCATCTGGGGGGGGACATACAACCCCTCCAGCTCGGTGGAGGACACATGGGATGGCGCGGGGGAGGGGTGTTGCTGTGGTCAGCCCTGCCAGCCCCCACCCCGTGCACCCACCCACCGAGACCCCCAGGTGCCCCAGTGCCACCAGCCCCCCAACTGTCCCAGTTCACCCAAATTGCCCCTCCCTCCAGCACCCACCCCCACCCCCCCAAGCTTTGGGGCTTCAGCAGGAGCCAGCCTGGCCGAGGAGCCTCGGGCAGCCGGAGGCACCAGTGCCTCCCAGTCCCAAACTGGTTCAGGACTGCACAGACCTGCTCCCTGTTTGCTCCCCGGCCCGCAGCTCCCCAACCGGCTTTTCCTGCTGGAGAAACCCTCTCCCAGGAGGAAGGAACAGCCCTTGGTGACAGTCCGGCTGGAGGGACAGCCAGGCCGGGGACCCGGGGATGTCCCAGCGGCTCCTCCGGGACCTTGGGAAACCTCCCCAGGGAGGCCCCGCAGAGCCCCGAGCAGGACAGGCAGCAGGGCTGGGCTCGTCCCAGACGTTTCTGTCCCCTCTGAATTAATTCCTCAAATCTCAAATTACATTTCCCAGGCAGGGGGAGAGCCTGTGCCTTCGCACACGGCTTTGGGGTCACGCATCTGCCTTGTCCTGGCTGCTTCCCTCGGGAACTGATCCCAAGTTCTACCCATTCCCCTTTCTATCATTTCTATTCCTCTTCCTCTTCGTATTCTTCTTCCTATACCTATTTCTGTTTCTCTTATTCCTATTTCTATTCCTATTTGCAATTTAGATTTCTATTTCTCCTACCCTTATCCCTGTCCCTAGCTTCATCCCTATCCCTATCCCTATCCCTATCCCTATCCCTATCCCTATCCCTGGTATTATTCCTATTCCTATCCCTAGCCTTATTCCTATTCCCATTCCCATTCCTGTTCCTATCCCTAATTTATATTTTGATTTCTCCTATTCCTGCTTCTATTTCTAATTTATATTCCTATTCCATTTTTTATTTCCATTCTGTTAATATTTTTCATAATATTTCTACTTCGATCACGGCGGCGGCGGCAGGGCCGGGACTCGAACCGGTGTACCCGGGGGGGTGGTGAGGGGGGGTGGCGCGGCAGATCCCCGCTGCGGCCGTCAGGTGGCGACATTGCCCCGCGCTGCGGTGCCGGCGGCTCGGAGGGGACAGTCCCGGGGGGGAGGAC